GGATTTAAGATGGACTGATTTAAGATTGATTTTAGATGGATTTAAGATGGACTAATTTAAGATTGATTTTAGATGGATTTAAGACGGACTGATTTAAGATGGATTTAAGACGGATTGATTTAAGATGGATTTAAGATGGACTGATTTAAGATTTATTTAAGATGGACTGATTTAAGATTGATTTACAATGGATTTAAGACGGACTGATTTAAGATGGATTTAAGACAGATTGATTTAAGTTAGAGCTAAGGCAGATAGCTCTAAGGTAGATCTAAGATAGATGGATGGATAGATCTTAGATAGATGATATATGGATAGATGAATGGATGGATGGATGGATGGATGGATAGATCTAAGCTAGATAGAAACGCTGAAACAATTCTTCATTTCCAGTGAAGTGATTCAGTTAAAATTGTCTCTAATGTTAACCTGCATGACTTTTAGTATGTGATGAACAAAAATTGTGAAAATGTTTGCCAAAATATTTCAGGCAAATTTGTTGGTACCCTTAATAAAACTATTGATAATTGCATTGTAGTCAGTTTTCAAACTAAGTGTTTGACTTTGACATGTACTTTCATTTTTTTAATCAATCAACCTAAAGTTAACAAACGTACCATTGTTTGGTATCATTGCGTGCACAGCACTACACGGAGCAGAGAAACCAGGAGCCAGAGCTGTCTAAGGAGCTCCGAAAGATGACTATAGAAGTCTGCATTAAAAGTAAAAGATACAAGACCATCTCCAAGCAGTTTGTTTCTCTGATCACAGCTGTCAATATTATTTAAAAGTATAAGGTTTGTGGGATTGTAGCCGACTTTCTAGGATATAAACACAAGAGGAAATGCAACTCCAGGTTGATGGATGATTCAGATTGTAGCAAAACGAACCAAAGAAATAATTCAAGCTGGACTCCGAGGTCAAGGTATGTCACTTTCTGATTGCACCATCCATTACGTTTGGAATTATAATGGGCTCTCATGGAAGAATACTCGGGAGGCTCCACTATTGACAGGAATTCACTAGCAAGCTTGTTGACAAGCCCAAAGTTTCTGAGACATTTAAAGGATTGATAAGACCAAACCGGAGCTTGTGGGCTCCAGCCACATCAGCTGTTTTTTTTATTTATTATTGTGGAAGGGTACCAATTAATGTTGCTGCATATGTATATAACAGGAGCACAACATGAATGTTACACATTTGTCATATATGCCACAACACTTAATTTATTTTTACAAAACACACCTTTTCTCTTTGGATTTTGACCCATGTAAAAGAATTTCAAAATCCACTAACTTACGTGATAAAATACCTGTGTTCCTGTATCATAAATTCCTCCATTTTGCTCTGTCAGGCTTACATAACCTGAAAGTTTTATCATCTTTACTCCCTACATTCTTTAATCTCCTAGAAAATGACACAAAACTTGCTTTGGATATCAGCTTTACCTCTGACTCAGTCACATTAAATAAAAAAAAAGAAGAACATCAGTATTATTTCAATATTGGATCATTAGAAACAGCTGTTTTGTATTATTTTATTTTATTTTAATTTATTTTTCTCCTTTTAGCCATTCAGTTGATGTGAAGCTCTGTGTCCCAATTGCATAATACTAACTTTGATACACTTTTTGTTGATTTTCCAACTTATCAGTTTGGATATCTGAGCTGAGATCAGTTTTTCTGTGTCACAGTTCAATGGAAAGCAGAAATAGAAGTCATTCGCACTTGCACATGTTGCATCACAATGCGGTCCTGTGCCAGAACATGCTGTTACATCAACTGCTTATTTGTTTTATGGGATTGGGACACAGTGTCCGTCTCCTGCTCTCCTCACATCGGTCAGTCCTACCAGTTTGCTGTGTTGTTTATTTTCTACTTTCCCTAAATGCAACTTACTTTAAGCATGCATCAACATCCTGCAGTTCGACTAAAACAAAGCAAATGATA